TAGGTGGCCCCTTGCTGTTCGAATGAAAATTTTCTTTAAAAACTTTGCCTGAATTGTCCTTCCTACCACTCTTTTACTGCGACGTCTTAAGGTGGCCGAACACAGTTTTCGCGCGCGCTTCTGCCGATGCAATTCAGCGCGCGCAAAAGGATTGCAAAAAACAAACATGCCGTCAATAGAGCGATCATTTTATTTACTCAACACCAGCAGTATCTGTGCTATTTTTCTCTATATTTGAACGCAGTGTATTGATGGCTTTAGTCTTTTATTACAACGATATGTTTGAAAAGGTTACGATGCAAAGAACCCAGCAATTCTCAGCTTTTTCTTTGTTACCGAAAGAACCCAGTTAATTGTAGCGCATGCGCAGTAAGTCAAAAAATTGCGATTGAATGAAAAAGTACACTCTCGGAAATACGCCTACTTCTCGAGAATCACACATTAGAATTTCAAGAAATTTGACACGAAAACACTTTAGGAAATAAATAACTGGAGTACTGGATATAATTGAACTTTAACAAAGGAAACTCTAGACATTCCAGTGAACCTTCAACAAGGGATAATTAAAGATCTCGCTGTTCAATTATTAGCAAAATGGTGTTAACTTGTGAGAATCTTTACAAGCTTGTTGCATGCAAATTATAAAGAAAATCTAATAACTAGATTTTCTACAAATAAACAAAACCGATTTTAAAGGCTGGTTATATTTACTCATGTTGCCATGGAAACGGCACATACGTCAGCTTAACCATCAAAAAACCAAAGTTTGTGTTGTTAACTTGCTTGCTGCAATTTTTGACGACCGAGGCTAGGGATCAAGGNAAATTATAAAGAAAATCTAATGACTAGATTTTCTACAAATAAACAAAACCGATTTTAAAGGCTTGTTTATATTTACTCATGTTGCCATGGAAACGGCACATACGTCAGCTTAACCATCAAAAAACCAAAGTTTGTGTTGTTAACTTGCTTGCTGCCATTTTTGAACGACCGAGGGATCAAGGGTTTGAGAGAAAAAGGTAAATGAAACACAGGTATCAAAAACTGGGTTCAGCCACCTTAAGGACGTTCGCGCTAATTGTTTCTCCGCATCCTTACTGCGCACGCTAATTCACACGCTACGTCATGCATCAAGCGCGCGTGCTAAGTGCTAGACTTGCCACAAGTCGACCTCTTCTTAAGGGCCCATTTACCGATCTTTTCGAGCCGTTGCTAAGGAAAATTTATTCTCGTATAACCTCATCATTTTTAGTTAGTTCAGAGTTATTTCATGTGTTTTAACTTTTTCATGATGAGTAACACTAGTGGTGACGTCATCAGGCCACGCCTATGGTCATGTGACTAATACAGAAAAAATGCAAAGGCTTCCAGGCAAATTAATTTAT